TCTTTTCCGCGGCTGCATTCGCATCTATAGCATTGGAGCGCGGGAGACGGGCAAGAGAAGCGTACTTGCCGCTTCGTCGCGCGCGGCAGTGGGCGCGACCTTTCCTTAATTTGCACTACCCTTTCGACTGGAGCATCGGATTTCATGTAGACAAGGACATGGTAGACACTTATGTCTATTTTTGGTCATACATTGTCTATTCTCGACCAATACCACCGAAATCGTCGTCATTAGCGGGCACGACGGCGCTAACCGGCGCGGCGAATTACGATTCTCTTGCCACATACCCTTGGAGCGCTGATGCAACTTAAGCACTTACAGCGCGTTACGGTGCTTCATCGTGAAGTCTGACCGCTGCCTAACTGCGCGTCTCTTTGATAGAATCACGCAAAGACTAGCCAATCTCGCGTTTTTGGGGTGCATCGTTACCAGGCTCGTTTTGTAGTTGCAAGCTGCAACTCCTTTCCCCCAGTAATTTTATTGGTCAGTTGTGCGTTAGAATGCGGCCATGGTACCGAACGGGTGCCTCGCACCGAAGGGGCTGAACATCGCAGCGCTTATTGTTCCATCCTTTCCCTCATATCTACTCCTTTGCTCTTTGGAAACTAATGCTGCGATAACGGAATGAGGCGGAAGCCAGTGTCTAAATCTCCTTTGTGCCTGCAGCCTTTTCCAGCTCGATAGCCTTTTGCTGCACTATCTATACCGTGCATGATAGCAGCTTCGCTAGGGATCCTCACTAAGATTAATAGAGGTTGTAATAGTTACGCATCGGTTCAATATATGGTACTGGTAGACTTCCCCTTTTAGAGCTTTCTGGTGGAAATGGCAAATTTGATGCTGATCAATACTGGGCGCTGTTCAGCGCTGAGAGGCATTTTGCACTTTCGCTGGTTTTATCTTCTTCGCTCATGTAAGGTGACAGTTCTCACTTTGCTGGGACATGTATACTCCTGTGAAGCTGCGAAATGGTGCGAGTGAGCCCCTTCGGTCACAAGAATCCACAGGTCTTCACAAGGTGGCAAGCTGCAGGCTTAGCTGGCTACCACCTTGTGCACCCCCCCCTACCATAACAAACTACACCCAATATTGTTCTCCAATAGAA